ATATGAGCAAAAGATCAAGACAAAAAAAATGCCTAGACAATGCAAAAGTGAGACAAAAATATGTACAGAAACACCAGTGAGTTCATTTTGTGTTGGCCATCTACTGCTAAGCATGAGCCCGACACTGAACTGTGGTTAATACGCCCAGGGAAACTCCACTGCAGAAAACTAATTTTTCCTTTACCAGCAGGTATCCATTGCAGATAGCTTCTTGGTTAGAGCTGGGAGCCCATGTCCAGTTCCCTTCTCAGTGCTGGGGTCCCATCTGCCTTGAACCTGTGTAGACCCTGTGTGTGCTGTCACGGTCTCTGTGCGTTCATATGTGCATCAGTCCTGTTGGGTCCGGAGGACACTGTTTCCTTGGAGTCGTCCATCACCTCTGGCTCTTAGAATCTTTCTGCCTCCTCTTCCACACAGATCCCTGACCCAGAGGGGAGAGGTTTGGTGAAGACACCCCAGTTAGGGCTGAGTGTTCCAAAGTCTCTTGCTCTCTGCACGTTGTCCAGCCATAAGTCCCCATGTTAGTTCCCATCGAATGCAAAAAGAAGTGTCTCTGATGATGGCTAAGTGAGGCAGTGACCTGAGTCCCAGTCTGGTGTGGTCACTGGGGTCCCTAGTAGAAAGTATGACTGAGATTGGCAGCTGACACAGGGGAATGGTCCTGAGCTAGAAGGGAAAGCTGAGAGGGTCCGCAGGAAAGACCTGGGTCCAGGTACAGTTTATACAACTTCTATTTCTTTAATTTATTACTATTTCATGTGTGTATGTGCTGTGCATGTGTGTGTGTGTGTGCTTGAGTGTGTGTGTGTGCTTGAGTGTGAGTGTGTGAGTATGTGCGCTCGTGTGCTTGAGTGTGTGTTTGTGTGTGCTCCTGCACTTGTGTGAGAATGCAAGAGCACATGGGCCCCAGTGCAAGTGTGGAGGTCAGAGAACCACCTGAGGCATAGGCCCTTGCTTTCTACCTTGTTAGAGCCAGAGTCTCTTGTCCTTCATCACTGCACGAATCCACTAGGCTAGATGGTCCAGAAGCTTCCAGAGACTCCCGTCTCCACACCCATCGCTCCATAGACATGCTGTAGGATTTCAGATGCGTTACACGCACTCTGGAGACGGACACCCAGCCCTCCTGCTTGCAGAACAAGAGCCTTATCCACTCAGTAATCTTCCCAACCCTTGTAGCTTCTATTTCTTGCCTACGACTTTCTATTTTTAAAATGTGTTTCCAGAGAATTTCTAATTGCTTGTTGAGGCATTTTTTAAGATGGCTACTTGAAAATCCTTCCAGATAATTCCAACACCTGACTTAACTATGTGTTGGCATCAGCTGATTTTCTTTTCATGCTTAAGCTGCAATTTGCCCAATTTGGAGGAATGAAGAGTGCTTTTTTTGTTTGGTTGTTTTTTTGTTTTGTTTTGTTTTGGGGGGGTTGGTTGGGTTTTTTGTTTGTTTGTTTGTTTGTTTGTTTATCTCCCTGACATGTTTTCTATTACATTAAGAAATATGAGTGCTAGTAAATGTTTGATGTCCGCAGCCAGTCCCCATTAGGCTGGGCAGGCAAGTCCCAGCCCGTCTGGTGGGCTGTGGCTCTCTCTGTAAGAATCTCCTTTCTGAAGTCTTTTCCTGCACCGCTTTTGTCCATGTGTGGTTTATCTGGTTCTTCTGGTCCTTCCATGGGCTGCTGCTGGTGACTGAGGGCCAAGTGAATCAGCTAGTCCTCCAAGGGGGTGGAGGAGGAATGTTCCAGCTAGTTGAGCTGAAGGGGCTTCCCAGTGGAAGAAACAAAACTCCCTTTCTCCAAGACAAGAGACTAACAAAAGGAAAACAGTTTTTAATTCAACTCTGAAGAAAAAAAAAAGGACACTAGCCTAGAGAAAAAGCAAAAGTAGCTTTGAAAGCCCCTGATTGTGAGAAAGCCCTGCGCTCTTTCCAGAGTTACAATCTGATCTCTTCTAGCATACCCCCTCCCCAGTTCCCCGTCCTATGGGTTCAGGATGCAAAGCTTTAGCTACCGAATGTTCTGGGGCTTGAGACTGCCTACAATTTCCCATCTTTCAGAGTTCTGAGACAAGCACCTTCCAGCCACTGGCTAGAGAGGTGTGGGGCAGAGAGCCTCCTGCTTATCTGTGGTTCTTTAATGAGTTCTGAGCACACTTCAGGCTGAAAATGGACCGTAATGATTTACCTCTTGTACAGGCTAGGCTACTCTGAGTGTGTGGAGGCGACAGGGTGGAGGGATAGGTGGGTGGGGTGTACACTTGGCTGGTGCCACCCAGTGATATGTGGGGATAGGACTGGAACCTCAGGGAAAGGAAATTCCCCAGTCCAGTCTGTTATCCCAGCTCTTCCAGGAAGAAGAGGCGGGCTCACCTGGAATTCCAATTAGCATCGCTGGCCTATCTAGAAAGGAACACACCAAACAGTCCATCTGTGGCAGTTCACCTTGAGAGGTCCGTCCACCTGGGAAGATACACCCAAGGAGACACACCCAGAGAGGAGACACACCCGAGCCACCTCCCTCTTTTTCCCCAGGCCCCAGTTCAGATTAGCTTCTCTGTCTCTCCCCCGCTTGCATCAGCCTGCTTTGGCTGCCTCTGATGCCATTTCCGTGATCCAAACAGCACTCAGCAAAGAACAACAGAAAGAGTCTACACCACCATGTCCAGACCAGAGCTGGACCACTGCTGTGTCTGCCTCTACCTGCTCCCACCTGCCTGGGAGCCAATCCATTGTAAAGGAGAGAAAACCTGACGTAATCCCACCCAGGGAGCCGTCTGATCCCGGTAATTGCTGAGGCTTTCTTTTTCTGTCTTAGCTTTTGTTTATGAAAAGTTAAACTGAACACAGACATCGAGCAGGTGGCATCATAATGGACTTGCTCTTTCCCCGTCCTTCCCCAGCAAGAAGCCCATCAGGTTTCCCACAGCCCCAGGCCTTGGGGACATTTGAAGCAAACCCCAGATGTCACATTCCTCTCACAGAGTCCTTGTGCTGTATCTCGGACAGTGCCCAGACAACCGCCCACCTGTTTGGACAGTCTGGTGTCTATTTGCACCGTTCAAGGGCATTTATGGTCTTTGAAATTTCTAAATTTAGGGGATCTTACAGGACCCCCAACCAGACAGACGTGTGTGACTTAAGGGGAAGCATATCCCCGAGGTGTGAGGCCACAATTCAGCATAGTGGGGCTCTGGGCCAGCAGAGGTGTGCAGGGTGTACTGAGACTCCAGGGACAGCCCCAGATATGACTGTCATAGCGATAACTTGGCCCATGTGTCTCCAGCATCCATCCCATCTTAGCCTGGATCCCTGAGTTCTGCATCCCCATTTAGGGTATAATAGCCACAGGGCCCTGTCTCTGCACCAAAGACTCAGGGATGGCCTAGAGTGCCTACTGGGCCCTTCTCTCCCAACCAAGGAACCATATGCTTCATCTTCTGGACTTTCCTCAGTGAAGGACTATGATATGGAACTGTAAGCTAAAATAAAGCCTTTTCTCCCTAGGTTGCTTTTGGACATGGTGCTCTATCATAGCAATGGTAACCTAACTCAGGCACCTGGATTCATGCATGCTAGGCAAGCATTGAATCAGGTCAGCTACACACACACACACACACACACACACACACACACACACACACACAAGCCCGCAGACTTAGCTTTCATAATCTAAGTCCAAGACTATTCTTGGACCCTCTAGCCTAGGGGAGGTGGAAGAAATACACAAAGCCTCAGTCACTCAAAAGTCATTCAGGGGTGAAGCACCTACCAGGGGGCCTTTGCATCTACAGGCCCTTGAGCGCCACTCAACTTATCCTGAAGCTCGTGGCCTTACCAGTGAACTCTACGCCCTAGCTCTCATATCCATCAGGAAAGAGGAGATCATGAAGGCCCTGTGCTGCACCTGCGATGCTACCTGTGAGGCAGTGGTTCTCAACCTGTGGGTCTCGACCCCTTCGGGGGGAGGGGGTCATATACCAGACATCCTGCATAAAAGATAGCTACATTACATTTCATAACAATAGCAAGATTACAGCTTATGAAGTTAGCAAGGAAATGATGTTATGGTTGGGGGCCACCACAACATGAGGAACTCTGTTCAAGGGTCACAGCATCAGGAAGGTTGAGAACCACTGCCAGCGTGCGGGCTGAACACAGCTGGCCCAATCCTACCAGACGGCCAGCTATTGTCAACAGATCCACAGGCTCTGAGCTGAATGACTACCCTCAGACCTGACAGGTCTAAGCACCCATCCCCAGTTGCTGAAGAAGCATCTGTGCCCTGCTACTCCTCCAGGAGCTCACCTCCTCCTGGTGGCCCCAGCTAGGTCAGGGCCCCTTCTGGGAAAAGGATAGCCATGGCAGGAATCTGGAAGGAGACCTCCCCCAGACTCCCAGCAAGTGGGTCTATGACTCCATTTTGCTCTGAAATTTCTCAAGGCAGGTCCTGGCAGACGTTCCAAGCAGAAAGGACCAGCCAGGGATCCGAGGAGCTGGCTCAGCAGATAAAGCACTTGCTCAGCAGACAAAGTATGAGGGCCAGAGTTCGGATCCCCATCCTGGGAGGTAGAGACTGGAGCTCCCCAGAGATTAGATCCCCTAGATTAGCAAAACTCCAGGTACAGCAAGAGACCCTGACTCCGTAAATAAAACAGAAAGACCTCAAGGAAGACACAAGTTGTGAATATCTGACCTTCACACACACTCAAAAACACATGTGCATGCCTACTTACACACACATATGTGAAACACACAAACATGCACAACACTCACAAGTATGTGCAAGTGCATGCACATAGGCACAAGCAGGCAAAACCCCTTTGGGTAACCCTTTGGACAGTGTGTCTGGCCACATCTCATCAAACCATAGGACTCTGCCTTGCCCAGCCCGCCATTATGGGGGGGGGGGGGTGCTCAGAAAAGTAAAGAGAATGGGGCTTGAAATTAAGTTTCCACTGTTGGACGCACGGCCGGTAATGACAAGGAGCAAAGTCCCCCTTACTCAGGCAGCCTCCAGGCCAGGAAGCTCAGTGGTTCCTCAGGGGTGGCCTTCTTCAGACTGGCGCCAGCATGTTGCAAGCTACTCAGACTCCCGGGTAAAGGAGGGGGCAGTGGAGCTCCCAGGGGCTCCGGTGGCCACCTCAAGCCTGCGACCTTCAATCCACCGGAAACAGAGTATTTTTTAGGGGACAACCAGATCTTATGTGTTCTCCTCGGGTCTGAGCAGGCAGGCCTTTGTGGGAGGGCTTGGAAGGGTGCTGCAAAGTCTGGAGCAGAGGCCCACCTGGCCACAGGACAATTCCGCCATGGGAGGGAAGGGAACCGGAGAGAAGGCTGTTTGGTGGAGGATGCTGGGCACTCCAAGAAAGTACCATTCCGGAGACCAGGCGACAATAGAAGGTAAATGGAGCAGACGGGGTCTACGGAGACTGATGGGCTCGGGTTCCGCGAGAAATCGGCCCAGCTCGGCTCCCCTGGCCCCTACAGTACCAGCTCTGGACTCAGTCAGTCCCTTGGCTACTGGAGGGCCTGAGATTCCATCGCTACCCCGAGTCACCTCTAAAAGTTTGTCCTCAAGCAAAACCTCTCTCGGCTCCCGCCTGCAGCCCCGGGGGAGGCTCTAAAGACAGCGTGACTGCCCCCTCCACTCCTTCAGAAACAATGGGCAGACAGCCGACGACGGAGAACCAGGGAAGCAAGTGTGGAAAATCCCCCAATTTTACAATGTCAACTGCTGAAACGAGGGAGCAGCCGGAGGCTGTGCCCCCGCGTGTCCGCCCGCGGGACTGCACTCCCGGGGATGGGGGGGGGGATTGATCTCCTGGTTCTCAGACTATGAGGACGCATGGTGGGTAGGGAATTACGTTAGCTTGCTAAAGACGAAAATCTTTTTTTTTTTTACGTTTTATAAAATCTTTATTGACAAATAATTCACATAGTATATAATTTGCCTGTTCGCACAGTTTAATAGACTTTAGTCCAGCATCCTCATTAGGCCCATGACACCATCACCACTTTCTATTTTAGAACATCACCATAAAGACGAAATCTTAATCGTTTCTCCAACAGAAGTACGGTAACCTGTTTTCACTGGGTCATCACAACCCACCACCTCTAGCCTTGTCCTTTTCTTTTTCGTCCATATTAGCTCAGAGCTCAGAAGTAAGCCTTCAGAGGACAAAGTGGTATCTGAAACACGGAGGCTGGACACTGCCTCTAGCACACACTCGGGTCCGTGTGCTCTCCCGGGGCTATGGGGAACCCTGGCTCCCAGGGAGAGAAAGGAAACAGGAACTAGAACCCTTCCTGAGTGCCAGGTGACAGCTGGGCCTCATCGATCTCACTGGCAATCCACGGCAAACCCTCAGTGTCACATTTCTGCCAGCTTTTCGGGGCAAAGAGCCTGGTAAAGCCTGGCTAGGTCAGACTGCAAAAGCCTCACTCTTTGACTTAAGACCTGGGGGACTTGATTTCGGGGCAGTTCACGTGATTGCCTCGGGAATATCAAGAGGGACTCCCGGGCTTAAAGAGGACGGTGTAGTGAAACCTTCCTTGTAAGAAAGGGCTTCCTGGCTACTGAGGGGGCTCTTCGCCCATTCTGGCAAGAACGAAGTCTGAATCAACAGCCTCTCTAGATGAGATGCTGTCGATCCTTGAGCCAGAGTGCCATGGCTACCACTGCGGTTTGTCACAGGGACACCACCCACTGCGTACCTATACCAGACTCTTCTGCCTTCACGGGGCTTCCGTTTTCCCACTGGCCCAGGCAAGCAGAGGTGGTTTTCCCTTGAACGCTCTGGGGCCACTTGGCGATAGGGACCATTGTGGTGGCCCTCTCGACCCTCAGTGCTTCTACCTCTGGCCTGGAGAACAGAGATGAACACAGGCTGGGCAAGGGCAGAGCTCTGGAAAGGTTTTCACCTGTTCAGGGAACAGAGTGAGAAGTTTGTCTGGCTCTGGAGTGCCCCCTCCCCCCCCCACCCCGAACCTGTTTTTTTTCTTTTATAGAATGGTTATTATAGCCTGTGCTTACAAACGCTTGCTGGTGGGGTTGGAAATAATGTATGTGTTGTGCCTGGCACCGGAGCAGCCCTATTTAGGATTTGCCTCTTGGCAGAGCCTTAGCAGCTGGGCTAAATAAATAAATAAAACATCTGATGCGTTAGTTTGCCGCAATGCCCTGTAAGTCTGGACTTCTATGTCAACCAAGTCCCATGCAGGAACACCACCCTGGTCAGCTACGAAAAGGGAGCTCCCTCAGCACACTGCTGTGTCCCTACACATAACCAGAATAAATCATTACGGGTACAGGCTGACCTCAGGTTGTCCCTGGGCCCAGGACAGTTCCCACTTGTAAGTTCAACTTATAAGGCGGGCAGGGGCAAAGGGCCCTGGATCTCACCAAGGGCACCCCTTCCCCTTCCCCAGGATCTCGGTCACAGGCAGTGTGTTCAGGGTCATGCGTCCATCTGACCATAGGGGTTATTTCTGTGCTCTGACTGCAAAACTTCATGTTCAGAGCGTGTGTGTGTGTGTGTGTGTGTGTGTGTGTGTGTGTGTGTGTGTAGAAAAGAGAACCATGGACAACCTTGGATATTGCTCTTTGAGAGGGGCCCACCTTGTGTTTTGAGACAGGGTCTTACACTGGCCTGCTACTCAGCAAATAGGTTAGATTGGCTGACTTGCAAGCTCCAGGGAACTGCCCACCCCGTCTTCCTCCCCAGTCCTGGAACTGCAAACAAATGCAAACATGTCCGGCATTTTATTAATCTATTGATTGATTGATTGATTGATTGGTTGGTTGGTTTTTCAAGACAGAGATGGGGTTTCTCTGTGAAACAGTCCTGGCTGTCCTGGAACTCCCTCTGTATCCCAGGCTGGCCTCGAACTCACAGAGACCCGCCTGCCTCTGACTCCCAAGTGCTGGGATGAAAAGTGTGCACCAGCACCGCCCGGCCAATGCCTGGCATTTGAAAGGTGGGTTCTGGGTACTGAACCCAGGCCCCCATTCTTGCACAGCAATCACTTTACCAACCGAGCTATGGGCCCAGTTTCTGCATGTTCCTGAGGAGCTGGATATAAGTGTGTCTGTATTCTCTTTTCTCTGTTTGCTTCTGGGAGGCATTCCTGGTTTGATCTTATCTTCAACAGTCTTTTTTGACATGCGTTTATCCTGGTTTATTTTCAATAGTCGATTTTGACATGCAACACTCTGGACCCCGAGCGCCATCCTCTCCCTCTCCTCCTTTTGATCCCCCCACCCCCCCAACTCCCCCAACTCCACCCCACCCCCACCCCACCTCCACCCACCCCCGCCCTTAGCAGGACAGAACCAGGGCATCGCCCAGCAGGACTTGATGTAGGCACCTGAGCCCTACAGCAGGCGTGCCTCCCAGAGGCCATGCTGGCCTGAATCCAAACCCTGGAGCCCATCCCAGCTGCCCTAGGGTGTGGAATTCTGGACAGATTATCTCACATCCCACCTCCAGTTGCTGCTGGGGACTAAGTATAGCTAAGGACCCAGTATAGAGTACGTACAATACTGCACAGGCTGAATGGAGCTGCTCACTGGAGCCTCCAACGTGCAGGCGAGGGCCTGGGATTGGGTTGAGGGCCCAGGCTGCACCCCACTGCAGGTAGAACACCGGTCAAGGCTGCATGCAGGTCCCACCACCAGCCTAAAAACATAAAATTAAGGAAGTTGAATTTTAAATGTCTTTTAATGTTGGTTCAATTTTTTAAAACTATGTTCTGGAGTGTGACCAGGATCGAAACAATGCATACAACACAAAGCCGGTCACCCAGTCTTTGCAGACATTTAGCTTATCTTCATTGTTGGCTTCGGGTCATTGTCCCTACACCACCAGGGGAATGGTGAAGTCCTCTTCAGACCTGGATCCATGCCCTCAACCTCTCTTTACCTTCCCCACCCTTGCTGGTAGCCCCCAACCTTGCGTGGTGGTCCCAACTCTCAGCGCTCCTCGAACTTGGAACTTCAGATCCTTCCGTGTGAAGGTCAACACCCCACCCCACCCCCACCCTCCGTATTCCCGTGGGGGCGCAGGTGACACGAACTGTCCGGAGGTGAAGAGACTCGGGCTCCCAAAGCCATGGCCAAGGCCCAAAAGAACCACCCACTCCTGGGCTCAGGACAACCCAGTCGCCACCCACAGGTCTGCGAGCTGGAACCAATTCCCTTTTCCGTCAGCAAGCAGCGTAGACAAGTGTGCGCGAGCCACGCGACCCCGCGCCGGGCCACTGGCCCGCGCCCTGGCTTCCCCCACCTTCCCCCCCCAACCCCTCCCCCCAGAGCGGAGGATCGGAGCGGGCGGCGACAGCAAGAGGCGCCGCGGAGGGCGGGCCGGGGGCGGGCCGGGGCGGGGCCGCGACGGACTGCGGAGACGCGGCGGCGCACGGGGCGGTGCAGAGCGTTCCCGGCGCTGAGCTTTGCGGGCGGGTGCGGGCGCGCGCGGCTGTGGGGCGCTGTGGCGGGGGCCGGGCTGTACGCTAGCCAAGCCGGGGACCGGGGCGGGGAGCAACCACGGCGCCGCGGAGGCCCGGGGCCCGCGACGCTGCGCACAGCCTGGGCGCCGAGTAGCCGGGCCGGGCCAGAGTGCGGGCGGCAGCAGCAGCGGCGGCGGCGGCGGCGGCGGTGGCGGCGGAGCAGCTGCGCCCCCCGCCCTCCCAGGCCCGGCGCCCGGGCCGCCGGCGATGGTGACACATGCGGCGGCGGCGCGCCGGCGGCAGGACCATGGTTGAGCGCGCCAGCAAGTTCGTGCTGGTGGTGGCGGGCTCGGCGTGCTTCATGCTCATCCTGTACCAGTACGCGGGCCCGGGGCTGAGCCTGGGCGCGCCCGGTGGCCGAGCGCCACCCGACGACCTGGATCTCTTCCCCACGCCGGACCCACATTACGAGAAAAAGTACTACTTCCCGGTGCGCGAGCTGGAGCGCTCGCTGCGCTTCGACATGAAGGGCGACGACGTGATCGTCTTCCTGCACATCCAGAAGACCGGCGGCACCACCTTCGGCCGCCACCTTGTGCAGAACGTGCGCCTCGAGGTGCCCTGCGACTGTCGGCCCGGCCAGAAGAAGTGCACCTGCTATCGGCCCAACCGCCGCGAGACGTGGCTCTTCTCTCGCTTCTCCACGGGCTGGAGCTGCGGGCTGCACGCCGACTGGACCGAACTCACCAACTGCGTGCCCGGTGTGCTAGACCGCCGCGACCCAGCAGGTCTGCGTTCGCCCAGGTGAGCGCCCGCTGCGGGCGAGTGTGATGGCGGGGGGGGGGGGGGGGGCGAGGGGGGCGGGTGTACCCTAAACCCCGGGCCAGATCAGTCCTCCTTGCTCTCCTGGGGCCCCTTCCGATCTGCCGGCTCATCTGTCCCTGCAGCTGCTGCTCCTGACCTCTGATCTCTCTTTTCACCCTCTCTTCCGTGCCTTTCCTCACCACTGGCCTGGCTGCGCAGTGCCCAGACTTCCTCCTGGGTCACCGCCCGCTGCCCTCTGTCCACCCCACCTGCGGTGTCCTGCTGGCTAGCCTGAAAGAGAAACCTCCGGACTCAAGGTCCAGCCTTGGGTCTAGAGGCAGAAAAACAGGTGTGTTTGTGTGGGTGTGTGTGTGTGTGTATGTGCAGCCCGTACCTGTCTGGTGTCAGAAGTGGAGCCCGAGAAATGAGGTCCCTCTTGCCCTGCACCTGTGG